TTTTCTACAGAACGGACTGAACCATATCTTGCTTTTTTTAGTCGAAGCGACCATTTCAATTCGAAATCATTCATTCGACGTAAGAAATAACCGTCCTCGGATAGGTAGACATTTTTACTTGCAAATGAAAACATGAATAATGAATGTAATTTTTCCTACCGCGAAATTTGTAATTGAAGCCGCTAGGACGCCGGGACGGCACGTCGCCGTCGCCTCCACGCCTTTCGAGTTATAAAGTAAACACTGACACCCTAGCGGGGACTGTGCCACATTTTAGTAAAACTTAATTTGGTCTTATTAGGCACGCTCGCAAAGGTAAACTTTTTAACTTTTTTCCCGTGGGACATTATAGACAGTCAAATTGGAATCGTCTACGGGCCTGATGGTTTTATTAAATCAAGCAGGCTCTTAGCTCCATATTTATTTTTTTTTAGGCTATTCTAGGAACCTACCCATATAAAGTGCTGTGTATACCCCCCTTTTTTAAACCAAACTTCTTTTAAAAAACAAAATTACTAGAATTTTTTAAATACTATTAATTACTATTCACTTCGATACACATTTTTTTCTTTCTTTAACGAACTTATTTTGTAATTTTCCTGACTTACATGTATTGGCATTACTTCTTTCTTTTCAGAAACTGGGTGTAAAAACTGAAACGATTTTTGATGACCAATGGCACAGGAAAGAAAAAAACAAAAGTATGAACTTACTCTACCTTTTCTGAAGTAGATAAATACATAACTATAAAAACTATTCACACTATACGTTTGTTTACGATTCAAAAACTCTTTCTCTTTTGTTATTAAATGAGACATAACTATTACAATTTATTTATTTAACTTCTAAACTAAATAACATACAGGGTGTTAATGAACTTATGTCAAAAATTTAAATGGGTGAAAAAGGAGCAACAACAGAGTTAACTGATGTCACAAACTTGTATACGTCGTTCTTTCGACGTGCTGCAAAAGCTCTTCACTGCTAGGAGGTAAACTGGATGGGTCGAAAGATTTAATTTTCTTCTTAAGAACTTCCTCCGAAGAACTGTTGATATTATTAATTTGCGTCGTTTTTCTTATCGGACAAATATTGTTTTTTAATTATTATTTTATTCTAAAGCCAAAAATATAAAATTTATCACTTTTGTAATCGGAAAACATAACCTGCGATGAGCGACATGTTTCGGTTGTCGGACTGGAAAAAAGCCCATGAAAATTTATCGGACAAGGTATGGACTACGTTTTTTAGGCAATTTTTAGTAATTTAAAATGAAAATTGGGTGTTTTGTAATCGGTAAACCATACCACGCTAGAGCGACATGTTGGAAATGTCGGACTCGACAATTGCGCCCTCTATTTTGTCGGCAACCCAATTTGCTTCTTATTTAACACATTTTCTTTTAATTCAAATAAAAAAATTGAGTGTTGTAATCACAAAAGTGAACCCGCCCAGAACGACAGGTTGAAGTACTCGCAGTGCGGAAAAGAGTCCTTCCCATATTCTAAAAATTTTACAGCGTCGTAGACTCGTTAAAACGAAGCGATCCAGACCGTTTTCATGACTTTTGTAATCAGTTCGAAAAAAGGTCGCTGGCTTGGGGACTAGAAGTTTAAGGTCATAGAGAAAAAAGCTAATTAAAAATGTGTTTCTAACTGTTGCTGTAGCGCAAAGAGTTTTGGACACCGGTGAAGTACAACCGCGTCGAGATCGCGACGGTGGTCCAGGGCGACCACTAAGAATCTTAAATTTCGAAGAAGATCCGCATCGTAGCACCAGAAATATCGCACAGCAAGTAAATATTTCGCATCCTGTTGTGTGGCGGACATTACAAGAATCTCAGTTGTACCCATTTCATATTCAACATATTCAAACGCTTACTCCTGAGAATTTTCGACTACGCCGAGGTTTTTGCGAATGGTTGCTTCAGGAACATGCATAGAAATCCTCAATTTACAACGCAAATACAGATGAAGCATGTTTCAGTCGAAATGGTGTACGTAACGTCCACAACACTCACCACTGAACTATCGAAAATTCACACGCAATACCGCGGTGCTTTTCAGCAACAGGTTTTATTGAATATGTGGACCGGTATCGTTAATGACACTTTAATAGGACCTTTTGAATTGCCTGGACGCTTAGACGGTGCTTCATATCTAGATTTTTTACAAAATCACTCGCCGGAGTTATTGAAAGACGTTCCATTAAATGTTTGACCCCTTTAGACTTCATTTTGTGGAGATATGTGAAAAGTGTTGTGTATTCCACGGAAGTTCGTGACATCGACCAACTGCGACATCGCATTGCCGAAGCTTGTAATACGATTCGGGAGGACGTGGCAATGTTGCAACGCGTGCGAGCGAATTGGATACGTCACGCTGAAGCCTGTGTGCAAGCAAATGGTGGATACATCGAACATCTTCTATGAAAATCAGCAGTTCTCAAAAGGTGGCTCCTTCTGGGGTAAGTCAGATTTTAAAATTACATTTTACTCAACACAAATTCGTGTATTTTGACATAACGGACATGTGTCAAAAATATTTGACATAAGTTCATTAACACATGCATTATGCATCATTTAATCTATTATTACTTATTTCATTTTGGAGAATTTGATATCAGCATTAATCAAAATTTAAAAAATTAAACGAATTATAATTCTGAAAAGGAATATGAGAAATCATTATGTATTTTAACTGGTTTTTCAGTTATAGTTCAGGTCATACCGCACATAAACAGGAGAACAAATACATTTCCGCAAAATTTTTCGCTTGTCTTTTGTAGGTCTTCAAAGAAGGGCATCAATTACAAGCCACGGTTCACCGAAGGAAGTTATATAAAAGTTCGCCTGAAATTAAGAGTTGGAGCTTGATTTAATAACGCCATCCGAACTCCGGACGGTCTCAGTTTCACAGAGTTTAATATCTCGAGAGGGCGGAATTTATCTTTGCGACCGCGTCAATAATGTTCGGATTATATTGGAAATTGAATGAGGTATTTCGATATACCGAAGAAAACTTATTCAGGAGTACTGACCGTTATTTGTCAAAGTGTGAATATACCAACTATTCCAATTTTTCAGTTACATTTTCTCTAATTAAAATCACAAAAAAGAGGGTGTGAAATAAATCGAGATATAAAAACATGATTGCAGAAATAATTTTTATAAATATTTGTTTTTTTATGTCGACTGACCACAATAATATGAAGAAATATTTTTAGGACTGCTGACTCCGTCGATAGCTCGTTTGGCTTTGTTGATCTACTTAAAGTGTTTACTCAGCCACTGTACAGTATAGGTTTGATCAGTAGCTCCATATCTTCCACCATGTCCACTGCTTAATTATACAGGGTGAGTCAGAAAGAATGGATCAACACTAAGCTGGAGATACTAGACACCAAAATATTACATTGAAACTTTTAAATGCAAATAACTCGGAAACCGATAAAGTTAGGCGACCTAAACAAGAGTACATTTTTATGTATGTATTCTATTAGATTTTCAACTTTTTTTAAGCACAGATAAAAAAATATGTTTTGATTTACCTAAATAATACCGTGAAACTAGCGCCCTCTAGGAGCTACGTCAAAATAAGCTTCAAGTCATGCTATGAAAACTTTCTCAATTATTGAGAAATTTCAGAATAAAATTTAAACCTTGAACACCCTGTATTTCTTAAGTATGAGGCATGGTGAGCTCAAACATAATATTTTGGTGTCTAGTATCTCCAGCTTAGTGTTGACCCATTCTTTCTGACTCACCCTGTATATTAATTATTGATGGGCCCTTTTAGTATGTTTATTTATACTTATTAAGATTAGATTATTCAATTATTAAATGTTTGAAATTATTTGTCTTTGCGGAAAACACTATTTAAAGAATATGGGGCCCTTAATGCACACATAGACACACACATTCTGATTACGGGACAAAAAATAAGATTTTATGCAAAGGAGGATTTCAGAAGTTCTTTTACCAATTTTGATTACCTACCTTTAATTGTTGTTACAATTGCAGTTTTGATTATTTAAAATGCGTGTTTTCTATACATTCTTCTTATAACTAAAAAATCCTCTCCAGGTTTGTACATACCCCGTATTTATTATCTCACGTATAAAAATAAATTAGTTTCATTTTTAGCATTGTAGGTAATTATTTTTCTTGACTTTTAAGAAATTTGTACAAAGATAGTTCAGACGTCAACGTGGGATTCTACGGCCAATACCAACTAAGGACCCACTGCTGCACCATATTGGAGATTTATATAATCTAACCAGCGAAACCACATAACGCATTGTAAGTTGTCTACACATTGGCCAATTTAAGTTTGCAAACTTTGAATTTAAACTGAATCAATTCGTAAAATTTTAAGCATATGCATATGACGAAAAACATATTTTTATTTTCCAAACATTGACATGTCAACAATACAAAAACAAAACATAGCACTGTAACATTAGATTTAAAAAGAGGGAAATTTTGTGTTATTGTTTATATAGAATAAGAATAAAAAAATTGTCAATCACAAACAAAAGTGTAATATATCCATATTTGTAAATGTTTAAAACATCTTTCATTTGAAATTAGCTTAAGCAAGTCATAAAAGTAAATAAAATTATAGGAACCCTCACCCAGAAGTTGAGTATGCTCTTCATTAGTAACAATCAATTGGAAGTCCAAATTTTAAACAAATATAAACAATTATATCAATAAAGGCGCCCAACTAGTTATTAACAATCAACGAACAAATCAAAACGTTAAAAAAAATAAAATCAAAACATTCATATGAATAAACATTACATATTCAAAACATAATAATAGTTTCGTTAACAACATATTGCGTTTAGTATATTCCTCGAATTTGAATCTCTTTGATAATTCTTATTTGAAGGGTACTAAACTATTTTTTATATTTGGATAGGGATAAATTTAGTTAAATCGTCTTATTTTGACCAAAGAATCCGGTAATTATATTTAAACGGAATATTGGAACACCCTAGTCTACCAATGATTCAAACTGGTCCAAACAAATTGGTCCAAATAATGCACCTTTAATTTTCAGGCGAGGAGCAGTATTAACAGCCTTTAGGAATTTGCCTAAATCGCAGCAATATATAAATCCACGGTAAACATCATCCCAATTTGGCTTACTCCAACCATACTTATCACAGACATTTTCACACAATACATCTTTTTTCGACATTTCCTCCGCAAACGGATTATTTACGACGACGATAGCGATCCCTTCCTGACTTCTTTGGTCATACATGATTTTCCAAAGTACGTTCGGAACTGGAAGCTTGGATCCTGGTACTAAATAAATTGGTGTTGGGGTATTGTTGACGTTGCGAAGAGCTAAAACTCCGTAAGTACCTGTTATTATCGTGAAGTTGCGATTGTAAGTTCCCGCAGTCATTTTGACCATGCCTTCTATTGCCTTCCAGTTGCCTGCATTGATGACTTGCCTAGAAACAGACAAAACTGTGCTTTGATTTCTTCGTCAATTCAAACGTTACCTGGAATTTCCATAGGACGACTAACTTTATTAGGGTTTCAGAATGCAGACTAAGCAGTGATAGATAGAAAGAAACTAATGTCAGAGACAGTTAGTTTATCTTTTTCTTTAAAATATTTACTTTGTATTCAAAAGTTACAAATGCGCGCAACTGGGACAAATTGTGGATGTTCCTTCTGAGACTACCGATGTTTACATTATGCTGAAGGTGTTTGGATTACAAACCGAAAAACAATGTTTAAGAAGACATTGTTAGACAAAAAAGTAAACATCTACGACGATGTCCTTGCAATCGATTGAGGAGATACTCCAAATGTTCCCAACAACACAACATTCAACGCTCAACATTAAATATTCGTATAATCTACATTCTTGTTTTTTTATATAACCAGCATTTTAATTGACAAGCCTTGATTTATACATATATCGGTTATCATAGTAGCAGTGCAACAAAATTGGTAGATAGAAGATGAGCAAGTTCGACGACGATATTTTTGCAAGATGTTCCAGTTTTCCAAAGAATCTATTTATGTTCAATTTATTTTCTATTCTATTCATAATGAATGTTCAATTAAATGTTTTTTGTGTCTAAAATGTAACATACTTTCCTTTCTTCATCTCTATTAGAGGAGGAGGAAGTTAAGATCACCAAGACTCACAGAGAGAAATGGAACATCTCAAAGAAAGTAGTAACTCAGATTCGGATAATATGGCCTATTGACACATTTGATTCAAGTTTCCAGAGTCAACTGCTTACTCCCAAAGTTTCTGCAAAGGGGACATAGAAACTTTGGGCCTTGCTTTAAGTACTGTCTACAGAGGTAGTGTCGTTCTCGGTCTCTGAGATGATGTTCAACATGGTATTAATACCAAGCAAATTAGTCGATATTGCATTTCATTACTTAGTTTATGTTAGAATATGTATTGAACCTTAAGAGTTAACAATAGCTACACCTTTTTATATAGAGAGTCTTTGGCAATATCGCTTTTGGAACCATAAATTTAGCAATTCGTAGTAGAGGACTAAAGGACACATTTATCACTGGATACACCATCCTAAAAAGCAACTGGTGAGTCAACACTTATATTACTGGTTGTGGATCTCCCTGGTCTCCCAGATGCATATAAGAGAAGTCAAGGCGTCGAGTTCAACACCTGCTTGGAAGCCTTGTTAAATCTGACGTTGCTTCATATGACATGTAAGTGAAATAAAAGCAACTCACTCTATGGGAAATATAAATATACTGTCGGAGTTTATTTTTGGAATGTTTGGTCTTCTTTATAGTGCTGCAAAGTAGGCTTTTAGGAGATAGTCTCATAAAGAATATCGTAAATACTGGGACTTAATATTAGAGCAAATTAAAATGAATAAAATATCAGAGAACAAATTTAAATACTGACGAGCAAGATCAGACTCAGACAGATTGCAGGACTTTTAACAAAGCATTGAAGAACAAATCTCCTAAGACAGACCGTAACTTTTGCATAGGCCATTTTTTAAATTAGTCAAACTCGTTTCAAGTCGATAACTGTTTTGAAGAAAAAAAAATTAAGGTATCATAAAAATTTGAAACAACACATCTGCTAATTCTATCGAAAATTTGTGTAAATATGTGAATGTACGAACCGAATTTGTTGGAGCTTTGTATTATACTATTACATTCTTGCTCAGCTTCAAGTGTATTCTACAGGGTGTTTACAAACTTGAGGAAGATATTGAAGAGTTAATAAATTCGATTGGCAGACGTTTTTTGCAGATGCAGTAATTTTTTAATATCTACCGACTTACCACATTGATACGTTGGAAACATTTTTAGAATCGCTGATTATACCGTTAGCTCTGCCTCCGTTTAGAAATGTTGGTGCACACCTATTTGGAAATCGTTGAATATAAAGATGCCCAGTTTACATCAACGTTTCCATATGTTATCGGCATGTTTATCAATTTATTGTTACTCTTTTGATGGCCCATTTTAGTACTTTTTTCGCAGCTTTTTTTGTTAAAACACATACCACAGAGATACTGTTTCACAAAATGTAAACACAGTTAAAATAAGAAAGTATCTACAAACGTCTAAAAAATTAATAGACTTCATTTAAATATATTATCACTAATAATTTTGGTTCAAACTTAATATACGTTTTAGTAATGAAAACTAAAATTGGTCTGATAATTACTTAAAGCTGAACAGAAATATTCACCTCTTTTTATGTAGTATGTAACTCGGGGACGATTCCAGGGGTTCTCAACAAGTTTTAAGCCCCGTTTTGTAATTTTAATGATTTTGATTATTGAAAAAGCTTCTAATTTTAATGAATTTTACCTATGTACTCCAAGTTTGTAAACATCCTGTAGAGTTGTTTCTATCTGTCATGTGGTATTTTACCATTGTGGAGTTGCATTGATGAGGTAGAAAGTAGCACGTCTGTAGTTCATTAATAGGAAATCCGCATTGGGTGACAGGTGGCCTCTGGCGAGGTACGACTTGTTGTTTAGATAATACGACGCCAGCTCTTCTGAGCCCAACAATGAGTCGAATGTAAATTTCTGAGACTTCCGAGTATAAGACTCTTCAGAAATATTAGATCCAAGTCCCTCCTTGCTGAAATTAGGACGGTCCTGGCCCTTTGCTGAATCTGAAACACATTCTAATACAGCAATAATTTAAATAAAATAGGGACTAAAGACATGGAAAATTTTTATTTTCGATTTTGTTAATTTTTATTACAAGCTTTTATTTAACTTGCCTTGTAGTATTTGTCTAATCTTGCAAATGAATTTTAAAACATTTATCCCCAACTGATTGAGCTGAAATTTTGCATACACGTTTAGTTTGGATGACAATGCATGGTTAGCTAAGTGACGTCATTCTAAATCCAGTATGGCAGACATTGAGTGAAATTATTGAGTACATTTTCCCTCAATATTGGGCATTTTGATCATTTTACTCATTTGTGATTATATTTAAACCAAAACTGAGTACTTTTACTCAAATATAGGTACTCCTTAAATAAGTTCTTCACGTAAACTCGGATTTGGTGCACTTATACCTAAATCATCAATCAATGCATCTTTGTCTATTCCCATAGTCCCATTAGGTTACATCGTGACCGCGCGTGGTGGATGGTAGTATGGCGTATGGTGTGCTTTAGAGTTGGACAAGTATCCGTTTATCTCTAAATTGGTTTTATATACTCAGAATAGAGTCAAAAGTCACTAAATTTATAGGACAGAAATTGATAATTATTGAGTAAAACTGAGTGAAACTTGAGTGAATTTTTTTTACAGTGTATGTAGTTTGCACTAAATATTGATTTGTTACTCAAATTGCTGATTCAAGCCCTACAGTCGGACAATTATAGAACAAACATGATTTTGAGACAGGGGTTCCCTTTTTCTTATTTTTTGGTACGCTTGGGTTTTAACAATTAACACTACGGCTGTCGAAATTAAAGTGTTACATTATTTTCAGTTCATGCACGAAATTAAATTATTTCTGCATCAAAAATTTTATGCATTTTAGAAATATTAATAATAATCAGTTGGTAAACAAATAAATGGAAACAATAAAACAAAATGATTTGTATGTAATCAAATATGCATTCCAGAACGAGCAATGGTGGAATAGTGGTTAGGATTTACCAATATAAGTCGTTTCTGGCACCAACAATTGTAGTAATAACATTATTAGAAATTCAACTGTAAATGATTTAATCTTTTACAGGTACATTAACATGTTTCTCCCAAACGCATATCTGGAAAACGGTTTGAAACAACATCTTGTTTTTTATTTAACATTATGCAAACTTTTGGAATTGCCACAGATTTTTTAATAAGTAATAAGTAAAAATATATATAAAACACTTACACTTTACTTCATTTCCATACAAATAATGTTCGCTGTAAAAAGTCACTCCTGTGGTATTATCGTGGCAGACTTTGATAAAGGTAGCCCAGTCATTTTCCGTTACGCGAAAACCAATTTCAGAAATGTAACCTTTCTTGTTGGCACACCTTACGTTAGTTTTCAAAACTTCACTTTTTACACGATTTTTACACTCCAACATGTCAAAATTCAAGCTCTCCTCTCCGATTCTCAATACTTTTTCCTTGATACAGGTAGCGTAGCTAGAATTCGAGTTAGCTAAAATGTAGTTTGGCGAATTATTATTTATGTATTTACATATTTATTTATTTATGTATTATTTCATTTATTTATTTGTTTGAATGTCTGTGTTTTACTTGTTTATTTATTTGTACCTGTTTCTTGTTTCCTTGCTTTTATGTCCGATTATTATTTATCTATTTGTTTATTTATTAAGAACAAATCTAGCCTGCTGAAATAAACCATTAAATTATGGACAAGAACGTACATACAATTAAATTAATATTAACATAATAAATAATGGATTTACTAAACTAATTTTGTGACAGGAACATATTTATAAGAAACATCAGAAATGCATTAAAATTTGAAAAACAAGTTGTACGGTATGGAACAAAAGAGAAACCAAAAATAATATAAGAAACCAATATACTTAGTAAACGAGTTATTTAGTTTTATTTTCTGAACAGACTTCGTAAATCATCGATTTATAGTATTAGCAAATCAGTGAAAAACATAAAAATGTTGTTGGTAACTCTGACGCTGATGTTTTACAACGAAGGCAAATTGTTTGATCGATTATAGATAAATTAGTTTTGTGTAGCAGCTGTTATTAGATTTTCAAAAAAAATGACAGTCGTACGCACTTGCGGTCAAATAATTTCGCTTGCCAGGGCAAGCCAGTGTGATTCCGTCTCCCATTTTTAAATTAACTTTTCCCTTCTCGGGTATCGCCAACTCAAGGTAAGTTGTATGGTTGCGAAATAACAGAGGCGACAATTTTTTTATCTCTGCACTCACTACATCAAGAGTACATCCTGAAAAAATATATGATAAATAACAAACAGATTTAAAAATTAATAAAAATTATCAGTATAACTATTAATTAATATATATCTAATATCTATATGGACGAAAAGCAGTTAATCTTGCCTGTGCGTTGGAAACATGATTCAAATCTTATGCGAGAAAAAAATTAGGTAGGTATGCAACTGTTGCAGACATAATAAGACATATATCGTCTCCAGAACTTGACTTGAATTTCTTTTTATTTTATACCTACACTTTAATGTAACAAGACGTAGTTTACATGTATGTTCTGTTTTGTCGGTCCTATGTTCCCGAATTCATGTACCATTTTAAAAAACGCTAAACTACAATACACCAATTAATTAACTAAACTACTAAATAATTTGAAAAATTGATCTGAAGGTGGAAAGTACAAAACTGAACACATAAAAAAATACTAAAGAGTTTAATCAAAAAACACTAAGTTCGGGAACATAAATGGCTTCTGCTATTGACAATGCAGATTTCGTCAATGTTTCTTTGTTAACGTTGAATGTTGTTTATCACAATGTTATTAGTTAATAATAAATAATTATTATTATCACAACTTATTAAGGTAACATAATTATACTAGCATTTGATCTAAATAGTATTATCTTCATCAAAGGAAGCTATACTTAAAATAAGGCACATTCAGATTCTGGTTCCCTATATACAGGGTGATTAAAAAACCGCTGACAGACTTCTAGGGTAGATAATACATAAAAAATTAAGACGAAAAGTTTTAATAAACATAGAGTCGCAAATGCCTCCTTAACAAGATACAGGGCGTCATAGTTTCTGTAAAATTAAACATTGTCAGCAATAATTCCAAAATGCCTGAACATTTCTATTTCAAATTTGCTATGCGTAGTTAGCACCTTAAGACCAATATTTGATGTACTGCTCAAAATTTTATGAGCAGCGGTGTCGTAGAAACGGGGTCAACGTTACCCTTTTTTAAAAATATTTTCTACGCCACTGCTAATTTTGTCAAACGGGCACTATTTTCGTGTAAAGTGTTCAATTGTCTATCGAATTAGTCTCTAGCAAAATTTGGATTAAAGCAACCATTTTTAAGAGAAACACCTTTGTAGAAAATTTGTAAATCCAATTTTATTTTCATTCATTTTAGTTTCGCATAGTAGGCTTGTGCTATTCAAAATAAAATTAAACATCGCCTGTCACTAATGTCAATGTGTACAAGTGAGTTAAGTAAACTAGATTATAAACTTCTTTTTGTCATTTTTACGCTTTAATTTTATAGAAACTTTGACGCCCTGTATCTCGTTAAGGAGGCCTTTACGACCCTATGTTTATTAAAACTTTTCGTCTTAATTTTTCATGTATTACTTACCCTAGAAGTCTGTTAGTGGTTTTTTGAATCACCCTGTATATGAGGAAACAGAACCTTTGATATTACCAATTGCGCTTTTCTACACTGTATGAATATATTTTGTTTTGCGTCTACAGAGTGCTATATATTTTTGGATAATTGATAAGGTAAAGTTGTTTTAACTTTTGGGAAAAATATTTTTTTTGCTCTTTAGCGTTGTTAAGTCTGAACCACTTAATTTTTTACTATTTAAGGATACATACTTTTTGCATATTCAGGGTGTAAGAATTTTGAGCGCTATTACTTCAGGATAAGGTAGATCAATCATAAATGAACAAAATTGTATATTACAGGGGAGTAAGATTAACAATTTTCAAAATACAGCGAGTATTCAATATTAGGAAGTTTCATCACAACGTGACAACAGCGCTTAACCTAATGTTACACAGACTTGCCCTATGGAATAACAAAAATGGAAACAACTATTATTATGAAACGTTTAGTCAACTTCAAGACAATTGTTTTCCAGTTTTTAAATAAATAAAATAAAATGTATCCATTTTGTAGTACGAAGATAGTGTTGTGCTTAAATTAAATTAAATTATGAATCCAATTTTCGCACACTCGCTAGAAAATACCCGGATTTATCCTTATTTGATGGGCAGCGGCAAAAATTCGTTCTCACAAGTCTTCGACTGTCAGATTTCAGATACCAACTGAATTGCGTATTGTTGGTTGTGGATATCTTGGTAGATACCTCTTGTTAACCGCCGCGCCGTTGTCACATTGCTCGACATGAATTTGATCGAATTTTAAATTTATTACAACGCTAATTATTTTTTTAGAATTAAGCTTAAAGAAGTTCAAAAAAGTGATATTTTATGGTATTCTTCGCAGTTATGTCAATATTCCTTAATTAATCGAACACTGATATATATTTTTTTCTCGGAAATGGTTGAGTTTAGGACCCATGTCATATAAGGTTTTTTTGTTTATTTTAATGTATTCTATCGTCTGTTAAAATTAAGACAGTCAAACTTCTAACACCCTGTATAACTAGTTTGCAAACCTTCTAAATCATGCACACTCTTGACTTGGACGATCAAGACACAAAGAACAAACAGCAACAGATGTCTGAAGTACATAACTACTCAAAAGCTAAAAATGTACATCCATGTTTTTAACAACTAAACAATAGAAGTTGTCAACGAATATTTATTCTTACATAAAATTCATATTAAGATAAATTTGTTATAAAAAGGAAATTGCTTTCGATAAGAAATAATTTCAGTTCGGTTTCGGAAAATAATGTTAACGATATACAGGTGTTATCAGAAATTATTACATCAAACCATTCTTTAAATATATTCCATATTTCTTTAAACTTAGGAGATTAATAACTAACCTATATGTATTTAATATGGATGATAAGAATTTTGACAAATAATAACTCGTTTTTGTCTAATGTAATAAAGGTATCGAAGGTCTCAAAATTAAGACAAGATTTAAATTTTGCCATTGTACTCAATTGTTTTCTCAAAGTATTTGTATTGTTGTTGCATTTCGTTATAAGGCTGTGGGTACACAATTTCGCAAGTGACCCATTTTTAAGCATTACGTCAAGAGCGCCGCCGGACGCACCAACGTTCCAGGAAGGGTCTACGGCGGGCTGGCGCCGGCGACCCGATGCGTACTCGTATACCTACGACCGACTCCACACACAGGGACTCTCCAACGAATACTCACCCCGTCAACACGTCTTTTTCTATACAACTTAGTTTTCAATAAAATACTTTATTATTACCGTTGAGAGAGCGTTTTATTCTTGCTGTACAGCGAAAGCAACCCTCAAGGCTTTACCTTATCCTCACTATTTCACCCTATTTTAGGAGATGTTTTAACGGTTTACCAAAAAATTACCAGAATTTCTTTTTGCGATTCTGTTGCTTTATCGCCATTAATTTTAAATTAACTAGAGCATAAAATTATGTAAGCATTTCCATCTCGAGATGAAATACTTTTCTCCACTCGTGAACAATTAAATATACAGACATATGTAGGTATAACAAAAATGGAAAATATAGTGGGAAACAAAATTTTATCAATACCAACTTTATTAAAAAGAAATACATTCCATTTTTTTAAATTACAAGGTTATGTATGAGATAAGAGTATTGTTAGTAAATTATAAATAGATGACAGTGTTATTAAAATAGTTGTCATAATTGGCCACGGTGGTGAGCGGATCATCAACATAAAATAATGTGAACAATGATTATAAGACATATCATTGTATCATGTGAAACACGTAAATTGTTTCTAGATGAGATCCCTTATAGATCGCATCATTAGGTATGTTTATACCCTTGTTTCACGGCGGAACAAGGCGGTGATAAAATATCTTAATCTGAAGAGAACGATCGTTTGACACCTACTAATGTAATATTTGCGTAATTAAATAATCTACTTCCAAGCTTGTCCGACATGGTAATTTCCACTTAGGGTTATATTTATTCCAGTAGGAATCAAATGTTTTATTATTTACTATGTCAAATGGTAGGTTACATGCAATCAGTATTAAGATTAAATCAAACATAAATTGAGTCTTCTGGTTTTCGCCAGTTTTTTTATACGTGTGTTGTGCACTGTTTAATACTTATTACTGTATTAATATTTATTATAAACGTTTTTGTACATATACAAGTATGTGTATACTGAATTACATTATTCTGTATATTTTTTTAGTAAAAGAAAGTATTGTTCATTGTTCGTCATTTAATTTTCCCTATGATCACATTCACTTGAAATAATAACACTTTGTTGGACAAATTTACTACTGACAAAACTGTGATGCTAACCTGAGTACTTCATAATTTATTACTCTTTGCTTTTTTTATTAATTTTATAAAAAAAAATTGAAAATCAAATATTTAAACGAAGGGAGCAGCTTAAATAGGTATTTTTAAAACCCGTTGGTTTTCTTTCCTTTCAGAAAGTTCTTTTCTATTCCAAAAAAATAATATCAACTGAATAGTTTTTATATGTTAATTATTTTATAGCTACTTACCGGTAAATTTGTTTTTTTTAGTCAGTATAGCATGAATATTTGCTGTTTTTAGCACTAAGTACGCTCGACATAATTACACACATTTATGCATCAAAAGATAACTAAAATCGTAAAAAAATCGTTCGACTACACCGACAGCTATAGTAGGATCGTATTCGATGTAAAGTAGAGCAAAAAGTTGTCAGTCTTTTATCAAAGGAAAATCGTGTCATTATTTTTAGGAGGCGTAGGATGAACCATTTCAAATTTAAAATGAAATTGAATGTTAAATCTGAAATACCGCTGCATACGCACTGTGTTCTGGTAGTAGCTGTAGTCGCCCAAGTGCATCGAGTGTACGAAGTGGTCGGTTATACGTCAAATACTAACCTGGCGAGCTTGATCATAAAACAGACAGCGCCTCCAAAAAACAAGTAAACAGTGGCGCGTACAGAGGTAAAATGCAGTACACATGTGGAAATTAAAAAACAAATTGGATTTATAATAAATTACATTTAAAATAAATAGTTTATGAGAATAAAGGAATTTTTGTAGGAACAAGGGTGCTAGACGTGAACTGATCCCTTCGTCCCTTCATAATATATAAATAAATTATTCAATTTCTAAACCCCTTAAAACCGTACTGCACTGGGTCCCTTGACAGACAATGATTTATTACTTTGCATCGAATATGATCTTACTATAGGCAGTTCGCGTGGTTGACAGACGACCCCAATGGCTAGCGGACCGATTGTGATCGCTCTAGTTATTAATAAGATATATTCTATTTCACTTTTCCCTCATCATTTACGTTTACGCTAGCTTACGGAGAAGCTATTCCACGTAGTACGCCTCTAACGTTCAGACGAGGAGTAGTATGAACAACCTCTATAAATTTACTTAAGTCACAGCAGTATGTATACCCTCGACTAGCGTCATTCCAGTTGACCGTGCCCCAACCGTACTGGTCACAGATATTATCACAAAGAATATCATCCTTTAACAACTTCTTCATAAATGGATTATTTATAACGATGATGGCAATTCCCAACTGAGTTTCAGGATCATACACGATTTTCCAAATTTCGCGCGGAACAGGAAATTTGTCTTTAGATACCAAGTAGATTGGCTTGAGGTTTCCTTTGTTATCGGGAAGAGTTAAAACTCTGTAGGTGCCTGTTAGAATCCTAAAAGTACGATTGTACCATTCTGCAGTTTTCCTGATGCTCGCTTCCACACTCTTCCAGTTGCCTCCATTGATAACTTGCCTAGAAATAGAAAAATTATATTGGAAATGAAAGAGTTTTTGATCTATTATTTTTGATTCACCGAAGCCGCAGATTTCAAATTAATATACAGGGTGTCCGGGAAATGTGAGAAATCTCTCGGGTGCAGATAGGGCTTGTACGAAAAATTTTTAAAGGAACTTGCCATCTTATTTTCCCGGACACCGTGTATATGATATAATGCTGTCCGTCATAACAGCTTTACATACCTACAAAAACAAAGAGTCACTTTTAGCATTAACGGATGTCAACTGTGAAAAAAATTAGATTAGAGAATGTTTATTTCAACAAAAACTGTTGTATGCCTTCTTGAGCTTTTTTCTAAAATGTATAGTTCATAAGTACAACAGCATTCTACTCTAAATTCTCAACAATTAGAGGTACGTAATTAAGAAAATTAATTTTTGTTAAAATTTTATATGAATGTTGCTAAAATGAGACATCTGTTCTGTATTAAAATAGAAGTTGTGTTAAATATGGCGCAGATTCAAACACTGTCTTTTTATTTATTCCTTAATTGTTACTCTTGACAATAGCAGCTATATTTTTAACATGGTCAACTATTATTCATTGCCGGAATCCAGAAAAATACAATAAAAGAGTACAATAATAAAGTTAATGCAAATGTGTGAGCTGTATTGCATTGGTAAATGTCTGCAATTCTTTTTAAGTACGCTTATAATTATAACGATGGATCTTACCATTGTGGAGTTGTATTGATTAAATAGAAAGTTGTACGTTTGGAAGTTGCGAGTAGAAAATCGGCGATAGGCGACAAATGGCCTCTTGCGAGGTATGAATTTCTGTTTATATAATACGAGGCAAACCGCGCTGAACCTAGCAGACTACTGAAAGTTGACTTTTGAAAATTTTGAGTATAAGCCAATGAAGCTGCGATGCCAGGTCCTAGCCCATCCGTGCTAAAACCAGGACGATCAGTGATCCTTGCAGAATCTGAAATATATTTTAAAGTGTAATTTGAACTATATTTGCACATTCAAAATTTCTTAGTAGATGCATGGGAAACTAATCAAATAAAAAAGAGCTATACCTACTGTATACCGTTGAAAGAAAATTAAAAATTAGGTATATGAAAATTAAAACAGATCGCGTTTATTTTGTTAAACGGTGAAAGATGTAACTCAAATTGCTCTGTAAATTTTGATCTTTGTTTACGTCATTTATGATATCTGTAACTACGAAAACAGGCAAAAACAAACAAATTTAAACTCAAAAACAATTAAAAACGAAAGGTTATTATCAGCTCGGAAAACAAAACAGATTGATTTTCAAAACTTTTTAATATGCGCGTTATATTTTTATGTGTTTTATTGTATTTTGTTTTTGTCTGCTTTTTTGGTTAGTCCGTAGGTGTATCAGTTGGGACTTGTCACAAAACAGGTGCATATACATCCGAATAAGGTTTCTGTTATGCAAGAGTGCACAACCAACGAGTACAATATTGTCGATGGTTTAATGAACATATAAATATATAATATATAATTTATTGGACCGGACGTTTTATTCCGATGAGGTGTAAGTAGGTAGGTACATTTATCTGGTTATGTAGTAAACAGTTATTAGAATTATAGAGCTTGGGCTGCAGAAAATCCGCATAATTTTATTGAAACATCGTTAAATCCTCAGAAGACAGGTATCTGAGTAGGAGTTTCAAGAAGATGGATAATAGGGCCCTTTTTTTCGGAGAAGCAATAACTGGAGACCGATCAATGCCGTAACATTTTACAATAAGCCCTGGAATTAATACATGACGATGAACTGTAGTATGGGCATGAACAAGATCGAGCTACAGCTCATACTGCAGCAGAACCTATAAGATATCTTCAGGAATTTTATAGTTATTATGGCCTGCTCAAAGCCCTGATCTCATGCCTTTAGATTTTTACCTATTTGGCCATATCAAAAATAAGATATTTAAACGCCCTCTCCACACACTTCAAGAATTGGAAGCAGCAATTGAACATGAAATAAACATAACAACAAATGAACTTGAACGCGTTTTTGAATCCATAAAATGCAGAGTAAATTTGAACATTTATTATAAATTTTGATTAATTAATTAATATAACAAGTTTTTGTTAGCCTAATAAAAAATGTTGTGTTCATGTTAGTATTGTCATTTAAATTAATTTACCTATAATTTATATTTAAATATTGAAAAAAATATAACAAAAACTTTTTGTATTTTATTAACATTATTTTCATTAGTATCTGTAAATGAAAGTGGAGTACAAAAGAGCAATTTTTTAAAGGATAACCTTCCTTAATCAAAAAATACTTTTTTAATATATGTAGAATGGAATAAAAATTCAAAATACCTTAGAGGAGTAAGTATGGTTATAATGTAGGTAAAAATGTAAAAAAATGATGTTTTTCTATTGAAAAAGAAACATATTTTGCAGATTAAAGTTAAAAGTTTGTAAAATAAATCTAAAATCTATTCAACTGGTCAATGATCTATCTGTCTTTAGGGAATTGTGTGTTAATCATTGACTTCATTGTATGTTTGGTTGCCTAACAATAGCGGTCACGTGTGACTCGGGTATTTATGAAGGTTTTTACATCATGTACGATTCACTCACGGGCTTCCTCATCAATTAGGTACTTACACTTGATTTCATTTCCATATAAATTGTGCGCAGTATAAAAAGTTACTCCATTGTCGTCATCGTAGCAGACTTCGATCAAGGTAAACCAATCATTGTTTTTTATCTGATAACCGATCTCTGTAATGTAACCCCAACCATTAGCACATATTGTCCTAGTTTTTCTAATATCTCCTCTTATATCTTTATTGCACCGCAAATCGTCAAAATATATTTTTTTCCGGAAAAGCCTCAATATATTTCCACTTATACACGTAGCGTACGTTGAATTTGAATTAGCTGAAACGTGAATTATGATATCATAAAAATTATACGTTTATAATAATGATGTAAGTGTAATTATATTTGAATGTACTGCCAGTATGATTTTCTGTCAAAAATTTCTTATTTGAGATACATTAAATGAAAAGTTACGCCCTAGGATATATTTGAAAAGCATTAGCATGAAAATAAATATTTATTAACTTAAAATTATGCCAGCTATAAGCAAAAAAAATCTAATTGAATAACAGACTAGGAGACTGACAATTGAAGGTATCACGGGTGTTATAAGATAATAATGCCCTCGGTCAGCATATAGAACGACAAAGTACACTGTCGACTTCGATGCGTTTTATTCATATAACACTCTCAATGTCTTAAGTACAATTTTTATCTTACGTACTTTCAGTCAAATAATTTTTTTTTCCAGTGCAAGCCAAAGTGACGCTCTCTCCTGTGTTTAAATGTACTTCTCCCATTTCGGGTACCACCAACTGAAAGTACGTTGTGTAATTGTGAAACACCAAAGGCAAGTATTTGTCTCTGTTTGCGTTGAGCCTGCATCCTAAAAAAAAAAAAACGAAAAAACTGTTACATCGGGTAAATTTTGAATCTTTTAAAGGAGATTGAACACTAAATATTTCTTCCAAAATTGTTGCGTCTTTTTACTTATAACTAGTATACCATTTTCGATCAGAATTAAATAAATTTTTCAGCTTGTTCATTTTCAACAAACAACTCCGGGCCACATTAGCTCTATTTTACTTCCAACACGGATAAGACGCCCATGAAAATTCATATAATTAATTGTAGCACAAATAGTTCCAACTAAAAGTTGCCTAATAGTATAAAAATGTGACATTTACATACTGATTACCTTATCGATTGTGAAAGTATTACAATACAGGGTGTTAATGAACTTATGTCAAAAATTTAAAGGGGTGAAAAAGGAGCAAAAACTGAGTTAACTGACGTCACAAACTTATATCGGAAGCTTAAGCTCACAGAGAAAAAAGCTAATTAAAATTGTGTTTAAAACTGTTTTGGAACTGCTGAAATACATGTATTTTATGGCGGCGAGTACTTACAAAAAATTCTGTAACACTTTTTACGAGTTTGTAGGTTTCTTATGAAGCCGGACTGTATTCGAAGGTCAGTTTGTAATACATTGTTGTAGTGATTGCTGTGCTGTTTTTCGAGAGTACATTTAATAGCCGTATTTCCAAGTTTTCTTTTGAAAATGGCGCATTTTTTTAGCTATAGCGAATGTTATGATATTCTCATAATTTATGGCGAAGCAAACAAAAATCCCCACAGAGCTTGTCAAGTGTTTAAAGTGCAGCCAACGGAAAAAATACACCATGACAGGTGACAGTTCAACGCGTTTTCATTGTTGACAGTTTTGCTGTGAGTCCAGGAACATCAATTCAGCGCCGTGGTCAAGAACTGGACATTCCGAGAAGCTCTCTACAGCGTATTTTCACGAAAGATTTGCATCTTCATGCTTACAAAGTTCAATTGACTCAGGAACTGACGACGCAGAGCGAAGAAAGTTCGTTGAGTGGATTTTGGAGCAAGTGTATGCTGACTTTTCGAACAAGATCGTCTTCAGCGATGATGTTCACTTTAATTTTGATGGCTTCGTTAATAATAATCGATAAAATTGTCGCATTTGGGGTTCAGGAAATCCACTAGCAATTGTTAAGAAACAAATGCATCCACAACGTGTCACTGTTTGGTGCGGATTTTGGGCTGGAAGCATCATCGAACCATTCTTCATCGGAAATGCTGTTGATCAGGCAATAACAGTTAATGGTGCTCGCTATCGCGACGTGATAATCATTTTTTTGTGACTATATTGCAAGATATTGTTGTAGATGGCATGAGGTTGCAAAAAAACGATGCCATATGCCATACAGTCCGAGAATTCAATTACTTTGATGATCAGAATTGGCGTCCCAGATCATGCAATTTAACGTCGTTGGGTTTTTTCTTTAGGGCTTTTCGATGTCCAAGGTTCATAACAACAAGGCTGACGACACCCACGCTTTGAGGGAAGAAATGGAGCTCTGTATCAACGCTGTATACTTTATGATTAATAAAAAATTACAATTGTTAATTAAAAACCTGTGTTTTCTGTCAAAATTATTTCTTGTGTGAATATTGGGTTTATTAGTTCACTATAATTTTTAAAGGAAGAAATTGTTCCGTTATTTAGCCTATTTTAAAAAACCCTAAATTAAATTTTAATAAAAGATTAATATTACAAACCTTGACAGTAAATTTCAGCGGCAAACAGACCAAAAACTAGCAGCAGACAATATTGAAAGGACATCTTGATCTTGATCTTGAACTAAAATCTTACTTCGAAGCATGTATATTGTTCATCCACTTCGTCAACAATTGCTGCTGATAAAATTTCCATAATTTAATTGTGAGAAAACATTAGGAAAAACTGGTAAAAGTTAGGAGGGACTAAATTCCTTATTTTATTACGATTATCGAACTACACTATAAAGGGCTTCGTAACTGCGTAACCATTGTATACAGTCCATACAATATCTGTTGAGATAGATTTCCAAGGAAAGAACCGAAGAGACATGTCTTCGTAACTGCAAGACACAGTATGCATTGCAAGCTGGTACGGTGAACGCCACGCCGCCAATGTCTTTCTACCTCGGGTACCGAATGCGTTTAATTCCACGAAACTCACGCAGGGGTCTTCTTGGAATTCTATCTCAACAAATATCGTACGGACTGTCGCTGTAGATATGTTACAAAATTTTCTGATAAATTAGAATTTGTTGAGGTTATATGATATTCCTATATATACTAAATGTTTTGTAGTTATAATGCTATTCTTAAACTTCCATTGACATATCGATTCGACAGAACTCCCTCTGAGTTACCTTTACTCGCAAGATAAAGCAAATATATATTCGTTCGGAAGACAGTTATTTGTTATATTACGTGTGCAATATGGTTTCCTCGCTTCGTCGACGTGGTCCTAACGCAGCGGCAGTCCAGGTGATGGGGCCGCAAACCGTATTAGAACACAAAATAACATTAATCGACAGAAGAACACCAATGTTACGTTACATGCATTGTCACAGAAAAATATCTGCAATTAGTACATAATTTTGTTCGCCGAGATTGAAATGGATATTTCTAAATAGATTCTTTTTTTAAAAATGCAAAGCCCTAAGCGTAGTCTAAAGCAAAAAAAATGTATTACATATCTTAAAAAGTTACAATATTTGTGAACCATACGAACACAAAAGATGTGCAGGCATAAAGTAAAAACTAAATGTCTAAAAAAAGCATATATTGTTATAAATCTTAATGATATTTTAACACATTTTTCTATTTCCTTATAATTCAAAATAATTAGATAAAATGGGAGCACTGAAATTAAAATAAAATATTTTGGCAACAAAATATATTTAACCCCTAAAGATGTAAATATATTTGAAAAGGTTTCTGCCTTATTTATTTTTCTGTGAAATCTGAAAACATAGGGAAATAAATGCTACACATTTTTCTTTAAGTTTTGTAAAAATGTTACAAATTGAAGAACATTGCATCATAGACATTATTACAAAAATATTAATGGCAGCCAAAAAAATGTGACACTTGGTAAAATATTTAAAATTTATGTTTTCATCTCTAGCTTCTTTCCTCACTAGAAACTAAATATGCATCTTCACATGAAAAACATCAGATGAAATACGTTCCAACCACTCTCCTATAGGTCAAACTAAAGGTTCTTAAAAATTGAGCATACTATACATTTTTGCACTATTAAAAAAGACTCTTAAAGAGAACTTTTCAGCAATATACAAACTCTGTATGAATTAAAAAATCTATATCGTTTTGGTTTGAATTGCATATGGAATTTGTACACTCAAATAAATATCAATATAGTACAATAATTAATTGTAAAAGTGTTGGCAAGCATAATAAAGGTAATTGACTAATTGGTCCATTGATAAATTGACCAATGATCGTTTCAATAAGCAGAAGTATTTGGTACTTCTGTATTTGGTATTTTCAAGTATTAATAGAGTGTTCCTTTAGAAAGAAAACATTTCGTGTTCTATAGGACATATCATGTTCGATGAGCTTGTCCTAGTTGCAATATTGATGTATGTGACTATCCCAATAGTATGTTACTATTATCTACTTGTACTAGATGGGTTAAAGAAGAGATGGTTTATTTCTGCGAATCCAATGGATTCATTTCTATGGAAGTACCGTGAATGTTTGGTACATTCAACCGCAGTACTAAAAGGAGATGAATTTTTTAATCGAATTCATTTCCAGAATCGTTTAGGAACTTAGTAACAAAGTGAAAGTGAAGAGTATTAAAGACACTATCTATGTCTATCCCAGACTATTTTCCCTAGTTGTCTCAAAATATCTAAAGTTATACCTTAAAAAAAATGATACCAACAATCCATCAAATTACAGACCTATATCGATCATCCCCTGTTTTGCAAAAATTTACGAAATAATATTGAAAAACCAACTTCTTGTATATCTAGAAAATAGCAATCTCTTCAGTCCCAATCAATACGATTTCAAAAGTAATATGACAACTACACTTGCAATAGACAAATTGACTACATTCACAAACAGTGGGTTTGATGAGGGTAAGTATGTGTGTTCGATATTTGTTGACCTCACCAAAGCCTTCAATTGCATCTGTCGCAATATTCTTACTGATAAATTACAATTTTATGGTTGTACTCGCGAAAGCATATCACTTATTCAGTCGTACTTCTGCCATAGACAACAATACGTGGCTCATAACAACTACAAATCAAAAACATTAAATTTGAATTACGGGGTGCCTCAAGGTTCTGTTCTGGGACCACTATTATTCCTATTATATATATAAATGATTTCCCAGCTTCTATAAGAAACGACGCTTTCGCAATTCTTTTCGCTGATGACACTAACTTATCCATAGCCAATAATGTTTTGGATGATCTGATGGTTCATTTCAAATAACTTATACCTAAAAACATCTAAGACCGAAAACTGACAGATTCGTACAGCAAATGTTACATGAATACTTGACATTATTTTTTACCCCATCTAAATACTCCCGGATAAATGCCGAGAAGCCCTGGAACAATACGGCTAAGATTATCCGTCAGGAGAGTAGTTTGTTTCCCACAATTTTGACCATCCAAGTAGATAAACCTCTGTCTGGTGATTCTTCTGACGAATGATCTTAGCTACTGCAATACTAGTCGGGGTATATGTATAATAGCCCGTGAAGTAGTAGTTCCCCACAATATCATTAATTAAGAAGATATTCTTTTTTGAATTATATTTTCATGTTTCTTTTTTAATGTTCGTTCAGTTCTCGACGAAATAAACAATGTGAAATATCCATGATTTAAAAAAACCTGGTTATAGGTAAGAACTGAAAATGTACTCCATCTTAAATCATAAAAAACATGTCCAAATATCACATTTTTTGGAGAAGCATCCGGCCTAAAAATATCACCCTATACGGACGGAACTAATTTGAAGTTGGCGGAAGGATACATTTGTCATAGAGTCCCCAGCGGGCCATGATCGGGTCGGATGAAGTTATGAGAGCCCGAGTGCACTAGATCACCTCTTGCCGGGCTAAGCGAGGACAGTGGGAAGTCCACGCATCCTGCGAGGCTACGCTCCGCAGGAATTACGATCCTTGGCGGAATTTATAAATCTATAAATTGGAAAATAAACGGGTACAATTTTGCTACAACAGTTTTTCATTGAGTTTATGATAATATAGATGTTTTTAAGCAGCCTTCAAACAACTTGCAGTTGACGTTTCGAGAGGCATATAGCTCTCTTCTTCAGAAGGATCCATTAAACTGAAAATTAAATCCTCTGGCTGACATTTTATTTGCCATGTGCACCGATCTATGGCGTTCTGGTACTTGACTTGTGTTGTTCCAGACTTTGATTTTTGGACATGAGCTGTCTCCAAGTTTCAGGTAGATTTAGCGACTCATCTCCATTGAAATTATCTCAATTCTTCCGAATTTCTATTGCCGACCTGTAGCATATTAACCAAAATATTGTCCCTCTCACCAAAATCCTTGTGTTAGTTAGGACATTCAGAAACGGCAGGATGCTAGTTTCTTCCACCTCCATGGTGGTGCTGAAGTCTGGATGTATTGAGGAATCCATCAAAACCCACTAGGACATCATCTGGATCTAGATGAATTGATCTTGTCAATCAAATCTCCAGCGTTTTGATATAGTGTGGCATGTACCGAGCTGGTGGATGAGTGAGTGATTCAACTGCGTGGACTATTGCCCAGAGTAATACGTTTGGCTTGTGGATCTTTGGAAGGCAATAATATCGGAGTGTCATTAAATCACTCGGAATATGGCCCCTATGTAGCTTCTGAGGAATGTGAGTTGCTCGAATGGTTGTCGCCATCTCTTTCTCAGCTTTCTTGATAGGGATCTTCTCCGGATCCTGCAGGAAGGTGTCCACTTTGGATATGTACTCTTGTGTCCAATTCGTATTTTCTTCGGCGGTTGGAAGTATCAAATTTTTATCAGTTCCTTGATCGTTAGAACTTTTGGTTTGAGAGCTTGACAATTCATATGTATGCTGCTTCTTATCTTTGTTCTTCCATAACTCCTTGGAGGAGGTGTCGAGTTATGGGTTTCAAGGTGCTGATGATTTCCTCTTTAGAAATATTGTGGGTGCCTTTGATATAGAGGTTGAGACTTCTCTAGATTTGTTGGTGTGTGGTGGTTCTTCGAGAAGCATTTTCTCAACTTGTCAACTTCAACTTCATGTAATGGAAAACAGTCGAATATCGAGTATGATTTTAAATCTGAATGCCTTCCACCACAAAAAAAAATAAAAATTAGTGTAGAAGTGTAGAAGACGAACATCACTAAAATAAACGAATCTGAACCCATTTCGCCGAAGATTATTTCTGATGCTTGAAATGAACATGAACTACCTTCTTTGCGTTCGGCTGTGCCGAAAACATGCGTAAAAAATATGAGTCCTATAAAAATTATTACATAATACAAGAGACGTGCGAGCACACGTCGAACTCTGCAAGAAGTTCGTAGGGAGCGGCAACGCGCCCCACAAATGAGAGTCAGCCCGCAATAAACTTATAAATCGCGTTTTATGGCTTTATGGTCTCTCCACGCAGAACTAAATTGGGCAGAGAGGAACCCTCGCGCTTAAGCAAGGTATTCAAATCACAGTTTTACAAATTCTCGCAGCTTGTTTGCGTGCCCGCCGTTATCAAGTGGGCCTTGTAAACGGTCCGGGCCGCGTTACGCGCGGATATCATGATTTATGTGCCGCGGTTGGGGGGGAATTTTTATGACGAATTGAGTGGATATATTTTTTTCGTTGTAACATCCGATTTACTCAATTGGAATGCTACAAGTTTCGTAACAGAATTTTACCTTGAAATAGGCTATTGTTTACGCCGAAATCTTCGTAAACAACAGGCATTCCCAGGGTTCTCGCTTCCGACGGCTTTGCAGATGGGTGAATGGGGTTGTCGGACGCCTTTCTCATAGAACCATCCACTACGAATGGTCGGGGAATACCTAGACACGCTAGTGGGTCTGTCTCCATTTGAATAGGCTGTTCTGTTAAGAAGTTGGCAAACTCTACTGCTTTTTAAGCTGGGCTTTAGCCCTTAGGGTATTTACCACAGACATGGAAAGTCGTGAGTAAATTGGATGGTTAGGCGGCTGGTCTAATTCGAACGGTGAGCTCTCAGCATATTTTTTACAATGTTCTGAATGGACAAGAGATTTATTTTTGTAAGTGTATACAATATATGTCACTATGTAGTTAAAGTTTGACTTCCATCTTCGAATCCGGAAAAAGTACTTTTGATTTTGGGTCTTATTACCTCGTAAATAAGCAAGGATGACTTCAAAATAATGAAAGGCAATGAATACACTTCAATTCAGATTCTGTACTCACTCTGGCTAAAGACCCTCTCTGGTTACAGAACTGCGAGATACCAAAGTCGACGTTCGATCAAAGGTCAGGGTGGCTCCGCGAATTCTCGGGTACTACTGTTCGGTTTGGATCCTGATATCTCTGAACTCGGAACATGGCTGTTGATTTGACTGAGGTAACTCGGTCGCATGCCCCAACTCGAATTTCATGGCACTCCTCTCGTTTTCGCGAAAATTTGTAAACGAGTAACATTTTGGTGTTAGACAATCAGCTGTATCGAACATGAGGTCCTGATGGTCATGGCAAAGCTTATGGAATCTTCTTTGCAGGGAAATTCAGCTCAAAATCATTTTGTAGTATTTTACAGTCGGATTGAAAGTCCACTTTAAAGTAATGTTTCGTGTCGTCTACATACAGTAAGCACAATTTCAATAGCAGTCTAAGTAAGTAAATGTGTAAAGAGTGGTCCCAAGGTAGAGCCCTACGGCACTATAGATTTTATGTTATAGATTTGTTATTTCACTAAAGTACGATTTGAAGAGGCTTAAAAGAGTGATAAAGATAAACCAGCATTATTTTGTTACATTGCGATAATTAGCAAGTGAGAAATTTTAGTTCTAGTGACTTCACTGCAAGATAATGCGTTATTGTCAAATAAAACGGCGTTTTCTTTTATTTTATTAAATACACTTTCTCAAAAGTGTTGCGCAAAGTATATAAAATGCATTTTTGGTTTTTGGATCATTTTATTTAAACAAGAAGAAATTTATAATTCCGAGAAACGTAAACAATTCCAGCTTATGATTCGTGTCACTTGAGTGAGCCTATTGCTCAGTGAAAAATTATGTAGCCCAGTGACTGATATACAGGCTGTTTCAGAAAGACCTCCCGTAAATACAGGGGATGATAGTACGACAAAAAAAATAAGAATTGTTTGTCTTATGAACTATATGTCTATCTCCTCTTGTTTTCGAGATACAGAAACACAAAATAAAATTTTTTAAATAGAATAGTCACTAAAATCACTAAAATTTTGATATAAAGTTAAGTAGAGTTCAAAATATTACTAGGAATGTATGCGTTGTTTATGAGACATCCTCGATAAGCTTTGACATAAGCCTACTTTGAGAAAAGTCACTTATACACCGTAATAATATAAGAGTTTAATTAAAAGCCTTTCTTTCTCGAAAACCGTCCACATTAGGAAGTTCTAACAAGAGTACATTATTTTTAGAAAATAAAATTGTTCATTAGAAATTGGAGCCTAAATAGTAAAAAACCTAACCTTAAAAAAAATAGAACTTAAAATGTAATAGGAATGTACCATACAACTAGCGCCCTCTATGAAATATCCAAAAAATAATTAGACTAGAGTATTTAGCTTATTTAAAAAACCCTAAATACCAAATTTCATAAAAATATTTCGCACCGTTTGGGAATTTTCGTAAAAATTCTATTTAAAAAATTGTATTCTGTCGCTCTGTATCTTGAAAACAAGAGGAGATAGACATAGTTCATAAAACAAAAAAATTTTTGTCGTATTTTCACCCCCTGTATATGTCTTTCTGAAAGAGCCTGTATAAGATGATAACTCGCTTTTTCAGCAAAATTTCTACGCCTCTAACTTTAAAAGAACTGAGTTAAAAAGATTTTTTTATTATTCATCCTATTTGTAAGAATAAGATATTGTCGTTTCTATGTTTACATTTTGAAGTTATTCGGTTTTTTATAAAATAAAGCGATATGTGAACAAAAAATTGTATAAATAAAATTGTATAACTCGAAAATGAAACGCATTACGTAAAATGACAAGAACATTTTTTCAAAGTAAATATTCAAAAATATTTGTCAGAATCGTAGGAATTAAAATTTTTTCTAAATTCTCTACCTTCGCAACAAAGTATTTCAGAAAAAAATATATGGGGCTGTGAATCCCCCATTATTACCATGAATTCCACGTGCTCTCCAAGTTTGTTCGTTCATTTTTGTTGCCCCTGTATATACCTACGTTTATGTATTATAAAATCGTATAATATTTGTTATTTTAATAATAAAAAAATCGAATTTTCTCTCAAAATATGCACAGGCCATCTACCTTTGAGTAGAAAAACTAACTGTGTGGGTTCATAAACAGTCTTTGTATAGCCTGCACGTGCTTGTTATCTTACCAATTTTAATCGAAAGAGGTCGCCTCCTGAATCAAACGTTTTTAATTATCTATTTTTAATCCAGTGAATCATGATTCGTTGTAGCTATTTATCAATTATTTGCATTTTCTAAAACTTGGCAAGAAGAATTACTGTCCAGGTGTAAAAATAAATTATTATCTTATTTATTCAGTTATTTACAATATTCCAGAACAATAATACAGCTATTAAAATTAAAAAAAATTAAAATTCAGTACCAAATATCAGCATTGTAAAATTGACTTAATATATCTAAGATTACAGTTAGTCATCTGATTTAAGTGAATTATAACTGGAACATATATCGTACAAAGGAAAATATTTAAGTATCTTTATTTGTCCGCGGTGAAATAAATTATTAGGTATCTACTTCGAGTGTGCAGCGACGGAGCATACAAATTTTATCTTTTCTTATATATGAGGACAGTCAATTTTGTTATTTAAAAGTTATTTATATTATATCATAATAAAAACACACAGGAATGACATTTTCCTCTGTTTTCTAGATTTGAAACGTTAAACCTTTTAAGAAGATCTCCTTAAGGAAAACCTCTAAGTGTGTGGGATATCTTAATAAATAGTATAAATAAAACTCTTTACATTATATATGACATTTACAAAAAAATATTTGAAAATCTTACCTCTGCTATATGTAGATCAAACGCATGCACTTTTCACAGTAGTGTATGAATGAACATTCGCGTATATTAAGTATGTTTATTTAAACATTAGATACGAAAGATACAGTACAGAAGTCAGAGCAGTTAGTTAATTTCATTAACATTAGTCAGCATGAGTTTGCCTGCAATTTACTAATTTCTTTATTCATTGTTATCTTAGCATTTTCTAACAATGATCATTATTAAAAAGAAAATTTAGCCACCTTTTGAAAGTTCATTGAATATTCGGAATTTCTATTCGGTGTTACTAAAAAAAAAAACAGAATTCTTATTATGCGTATAGAACAGGATTTCTAGTTTTCGTAGTGGAATATAGTGAAATTTCAGATCCGCCCAATAGATGGAGCGTGGAGATGAAGTTTAATTTTAGCATTAGTGAAATATATAGTTTACAAGGTGTTAATCTAATAAAATTAATTCCTAAATTACTTAAAAGTCATATAATCTTTTTGATAAGAAATATCTAAAGAAATAATTTCATAAATAAGTTACTAATTAATATAAAGGGCCTAGCCGGATAAAATAATGAAAATTGCCCCGGAGTGTATCGAGACGAAAAAAATACTGGCATGTTCAGCATGAAAAATGGTAGTTCTATGAAAATTTTCAGCCCAGCAAATGCAAACCTTACCTCAAAAAAAATTAATTTGTGCTTTTCCGTATTTTAGCCATATCTCGGCTCACCAAATTTAACGTTTTTGTTTTTAAATTAAACATTTTGTTTGGCCCTACAAGGTGATATTCCCTCTAACCCACTAAAAATGTGGATTTTTTTTCTCTTTTATATTTATTGAAAAAGTATTCTGAATGTTTTTCATGTTTTTAAAGTCGATGGAACGTGAAAATGAATCACAATGACAACGATAAGACATTTTAAAGGGCAAGACAAATCTTCCTCGACTGTGCTGCATAACAGCTGGGTTTCTTCGTTTCTTGTTAATCAATTTGGAAAAAGGTACGTCTCTAGTCATTCTACTAAAGAAACGATCTTGTCTCAAATAAAACTTGATGAAAACAAAGAAAATACCTTGGCCATTGATGAACTCAAAGATGGAGTCGGAAGAAAATTTCATTTCTAAAAATTAACATCAGGTGAAATAATGGATTTTCCAGAATTGGCCGAGGAAGACCAAAATTCAAATCGAAGTAGTCTCTGAAATAATTCTAATGGGCCGTCACAGTGAGACACCCTGTATGTACCAGCAAAACCGTGAAGGCAATTTTCTGATATACTATTCCATACATAACCCTAATCAATAAAAAAATTATAAATTTTAATTAAAACCTTTTGTATCAAATTCTTTGTATGTTCTCCAAATGGATAGGAACTGAAACAGCTTTTAAAAAAATATACGTTTATTTATGTCTATAATGTTACAATTTCGCTACAACAACATTATATTTCCTAACTAGACTGGTAACTTTTTAACTTAAACATAACTCTTAATCTATCTTTCAGTCATTTAAAATATACCTAGTATATTTCTAAAGTATGACATTATAATCGAAATACTTAACTAAATGTTTCCCTAGAATGTGGATATTTTGGTAAATTTCGACTTTAAGAAAAAAATTTGTTAATTGTACCTACTATCTAATTTAAAATCCATGTTTTACATCCATTTTTTAGAGAAGACAATTAGTTATTTAAACATCTAATGCTAATAATTTACTAAAATGCATAATTGAACATTATTTATCGGTACTTAGGGCAGTGACAATTATGCCTTGTTTTAACTGATGAGAACAATACAACTAACTAGGGAAATATGTTTTGTTTTCTGATAAATTAATAATAACTTGTCAAGTAACCACAATAAATTTAAAAGGGATAAGATTATTGAAGAATTAAATCAAAGAAAACAAAGCAAAATGCAACCGTTGATGTCTTTTTTTTAACATTCTTTATTACAAAATATCTGCTTATTCATTACTTTTAGCGTGGCTGCATTTGCTACACATGTGAATTATAATACTGAGAGGTTACAAATAACTGCAAAATCACAACAAAATCGATTGTTTTTATCATTTTTATTTATATAAGGATGACGCATGTGTAGATTTTACGGGGAGAAAGATTATTGTTATTTCAAAATTTTTAAGCGCAGAAAATGTACGAAAATGTACAATTTTAAGTAGATACAAAAATTATAAATTTAAAAGTAAAATATTCTGTTTATTGTGGAAAGCTTCTTTTGTAATATTAACGCAAGGAGATACCAAAATTCAGTACCTACTAAGCAATACTTGGGAAACAATTGCTCAAAACAATGTCGAAACTGTCCATTGCAGGCACTGAATTTATAACATGATTTACAAATTACTTTTTAACAAAAAATTATCTAGTCACCCATGATTGACCACAAGCCACTGTGACTGAAACAATATCTTTTGGTGGAATTCGATTTAAATATATATTTCTACTTCCTCTTCCTCAATTATTTTTTTCTTCGATAACGGAGAATGTGTAAATTACATGAATTGGTAATGAAAGTAAATCTGATAACATTCTAGTGTCTTTCACAGAAAGAACAAAACCTGTATGAATCCAAAATTATTACCAATTTCATTAGGTATAGTCGATGGAGATGGTGAAGGGGGTGAGGTCTTCAATTAAAATATATTTTTTTAATGTCACTAATTTTTTAGACATTTTTTTAATCCAGCATACCAACCTGTCACCCAAGGAAATCGGATCATAAAAAAGTCAGATTGAATGAAGAAGCCAAAAAGCAGCCAAAAATGTTAAAGAACATGGATGAAACATGAATGAAGAAGCTGAAGGTCTATGTTAAAAGAAGAAGGTGATGACAATGATGATGGTGATAATGACAATGATGATGACAATGGTAGAAGGAAGATGAAGAAAGCTCTTTTTTCCAATAGTGCTACATATTTGGGCAGATACAATTTGTAGTACGTATGTCACAGTGGCAGGTGTATGTTTGAATACGTTAAAAATTAATGTTGTCAAACAACTTTAAAATCTGTGTATTCAGATTAAAAAAATTATGTAACCTTTATTTTTGAACAGAGTATTGCTCGAATCTGTTTCTACCTTAGTAATGTATGTAATGAATTGTTCCAGGTTTTCGTTGATTGTCAAAACATAACTCATCTAAAATAACGTTTTGTAAGATATTACCTAATTGTCTTTGGAAAGCACCACATAATGAGAGGTCTATTTACTATACACTGAATTGCCTACTCCACTAGTTGTACTTACTAGCAACCCTACCAACATTATTTAAAACAGCAACAACACAGAAGAAAATAACAATCCTTGGACAGAACCTGTCACATCTAGTTCCGTCGAATTATCAGAGAGCTAGTCCAAAAACTAAAAAAAAAACTACTATTAACTAAGCGCAAGCAGAGGTTCGCTTAATTCTTTGGTAAGATTCTCCTTCTTCGCCAACTTAGCTCTGTGTTTCTTTTCTGGGGGCAGCAGAGCTAACTTCCTTTTGGACTTGGACATCTTCTTCTCTGGCTCAGGCTCAGTTGTGGTATCGGATTCCAAATCCAACAGAGCTAGGCTCTCTATAATATTATTAGGCTTGTTGTGTATGGGTTTATTCATAGGAGCCGGTTCCTCAGTACCATTCTTGTTCACGTACACAACGACGTACTGGGAGTACTGCCTATCGGAAGGAGTATTGATGTCGGCGAAGTCCTTGAAGTTCGCGAACTGCTCGTGCTTGTACGGCTTGGGGTTTGGACGTCCTCCGTAGAACGAAGGCCTGCCGTGCCCGTTGTGGAAGAACTCGCTGAAGTCGCTATAGGCCGTTTGTTCAGCTTGTTCGGCGTCGTTCTCGTTGTAAAAAGTGCCTCCTTTTATCACGCCGAAATTGCCGGATCCTAGGAGGTCGTGGGTCTTTGGGGCGGGGTTCGAGGCGGATTGGTGGTAACCTTCCTTGAAGCCGGCAAACCTGAAGATAAAAAACAAGATAAAATATCTAAGTAAACTGTAAACGCTGTAAGAACTTCAAATAGGGACCAGAATAGTTCCTTGCAGTACTCAAAAAATCTGTTTAATAAAACAGTGAAAACGATTTAAAAAAAAAAATTAGTCTAGTCTGGGAATGGTTCTACTAAGAATCTGGTGTACGTATCCTTAATCAGCATCACTGGAAACCTCTTTATCTCAAATGTCATTAATTTATAACGGTTTTTCAGGAAAAATCGGAAATGCCTGAAGATAAATATTCAATTACTGACATCGGTGATTATATTTGGCAAATAATAGAGTTTGTCAGTCGGTCTAAAGATGTGATAATATTAGGTTGTCTGAGATTATAAAAGCAAGTTATATGCAGATTCTATCATTTACCAATCACAATGGAATAAGAGGTAGAGGAGTTAAACTCAAAGAAACTATAACGAAGATGCAGTAGGCATCCAATAATGAAATTGGAAGAAAGACCTCGAGCAAGATGTGTTCAAAACTTGTGTAATGGTACGTGAATTGACAGATACCAATACAATCTGGCTAGGTTTTGTTCAAGTACGTACAACGTCTTTCCTGGGACCATAGTCAGCTTTTGGCATTCTTTATGGAAGAAGAACATTGCAAATATTGGAACTCAGTACCACGAAGGCCCGTGCTAGTGCAAATTTTGACCGTTTCCCCGCAAAAGTTATCTAATGAAAAGCTAAGTATAAACTGGACCACAGCTCGAAAAAACTCAACACTACGATTGAAAATGAGCCTCACTTTTGACTTTGGAAATAAATAAATAGACAGTGAGAAACACAACAGACCATTATTGGTCCCAGTACTTCAAAACTGTTTGGAGAACCGACCCACGAGAAAGTACAAGAATAAAGATACTTATCTTTACACCTCTGACATAGTATTCAATTTCCTTTTACTAATTCTACTCAATTTATTACCTAACAGGAGCTTCAAACACTTGCTGGAAGGGTGGTTGGGCTCTTTGACTGTATGCTCCTTCCTGGTACTCTAAGAATGGTCTCGAATGACCCAGAGACTGGCTGAATGCAGGGTAGAAGCTGTTCTCGCTCTCCTGTTGCTCTTTCTGCTCTTGCACGGTGGACCCTTGTGGTTGATGGTCCATATCCTCCATGTACATGTCGCTGTCATCTTCTGTGTATGATGACTGTTGGGGAGATGAATTGATGTTTGATCCTGAAAAAAGAAATATAAATGTAAGAGTTAAATGAAGTAAGTTTTTATTATATACATAGTTAATTTAATGTAATATACATTTTTAATTTTATTTATAGCCAGGAGGAACAGATGACATTACCTGCGATGGGTATTAAAAGAATACGGATATGCCTAATTGAATATGTATTTTTGTATTTTTTAATACATTATCTTATTGCTATGCTACATACTAATAAGTAGGTATATTGGGTGATTAGAAAAACTTTTATCTTACTTTCCTCTAAAATGTTTTAGATATCTGAATAATTGTGATAATATGTATGTAACAACGTACAAAAAGCTTGGAGGCTATAGACAAAGTAATATACCTTTATTATCGAAAACAACTTAAATCGGGATTAATTTTTTTATTTGAAAGTCAACGATGAGTAGTGGAATTGTTTTTTAATTATAAATAAGTTTTTTAGTACAGAAAAGTACCAAAAATAAAAAAATTGCAAGTAGGGAGAAAAATTCTAGTTTTCCAAACTCCCATATTATTAAAAAGTAATAATATTTATTAGCAAATTAACCACAGCTAAATACGTTGATCATAAAAACTGCAAGGTTATACGGAGTATGAGTAAAAATAATGCTTAATTGATTTATATTCCATATTTATGACATTACAACAATGTTATACAATATCCAGTGGACAAGGACATGCTAAATCCTTTAGTATCTATTAAAACGTAAGGCTTAGGTTAAGGATATTGCTTAAATTGCAGCATAAACAACATTAACAGTAATTTTAAATACGTGCCTAATGAAGTATTTATATCTACATAGAAACATAGAGGTAGTTGTTGCAAGATATCTACGTAATTAATAAAACAGACTTTTTATGACTTATCTGTTAATCTAAACTTTGCTGAATCAGGAAATATTAGCCAATTATTTTACGTTTTACGGTATAAATAACAGCTAATATTTATGTGCAATAAAGTATTTGTATCATATTTTCTGTTTAGAAACGTTTAATAATCAAGTCTTACATTTATTACCAAACTTAATATGGAAATATGACTATTTAAGGAATAGTCTCAATATTAAAAAAAGTAATAGAACTACTTCAGGATATATTTAGTGTGAAGTCGTACCCAATATCCTGATAAATATAAAACTACTACTGTTTAGCCAATGTTACATCCAAAACGCCACAACATTTTATACTTATTTCTTCTAGTTCGAATATACACCAGGTCGGATCTGTTTTGAGGTGGATGTGAGAGGGGGCAAACAAATTTTTTCTGGATTACCTTCAGTGCAACTCACATAATAAAACCAAAACCAATTAACGGAATTTAAGTTTTTTAAAAAAAGAAGCGTCTTTCTGCGTACTTTAAGATGATAATTTTTGAATAAAACTAAATTGCAAATTAATAAATGTAACCTAACTGTTTAAAAATAAAAAAAGGGTTAACTTAAAAAATTTACTGTCACTGACTTAATCAACCAATTTCAATTTTTCAAAAACCATTTGAAAGCCTGAGCGTTCTTTTCTATGTGAAAAATTTTTCAAGTATCTAGATGCTTTATTTGAAGCTGTACAACATTTTGAAAATTCGAAAACATTTTTCTAAATGTTTTTAAAAAAATTATTTTGCGAAAACTGTAGAACCGATTTTAATCAAATTTTATGTGCTATTTTATTATACTCTAAAGTTTTTTATAATTTTAAAAAATTATCTATAAATCTTGATTATTTTGCCTTTTTTCATCAATTCTTGCTATTTTGCAACATCGGTAATAAACTTAAAAACATTTTTAACTTACAGTATATTGTGCAAAATTCAATTATAAAACTTTTTTCCTTCTCAATATTCTTCCAAAATGCATAGGTTCCAAGATATAAGTAAAAAAATCAGATAAAATAGATACTTTTTTAAATTTTTGCGATTTTAAAAATGTTCCGGACCTCGCCCAGACCTAGGGATCTACGCTTTTATTATGTGAGTTGTACTGAAGGTATTCCAACAAAAATTAACTTGCCCTCTGTTACATTCAAGAAGTGTGATATTTTGACAGATTCGCCCTGTTCTAATATGACAAGAAGTGCTCGTACTTTCGAGTGTACCTACATTTGTTCAAGGTGCCTTAACAAAACACAACTTTCATCATGTTGTCACTTTAAAAAACGTTTCGTGGATATTTACTATTATAATAAAATAACTAAACTATTACTACTATTTGTTTGTCAAGATTTCATGATTTTAAAATTCAAATTTTTTTATAGTCTTCGCTTTGCAAATCGAAAGCAATAATCTCCAAATTCCCTCAGGTAATTGATCCAACATAAGCAAAAACTGCTACAAAAATATATAATAATAGAATTTAATCAATTAATATTGTTATCAATCACGGTTTCATCACCCAATTTCTCATTTTTGTCGCTTCAGTAAAAAAGGAATCAATTAACTCAGAATTAGAGAATTATTTGGACTGTTTGTACTTCATGCACTAGTTGTGTGGCTCGTCCTAGTTTCGCAAGCTACTCTATTACGTATTCAAAAGGAAGAGTTATTGTTTTAAATTAACGTTACAGCAATAAAAACTTGAAACACAATACGATGTTGCGAGACTGGCATAGTGGCTTCACATGTTCATCTAAACGTAAACAATTTTTAACACTACCAAAGTGCGATAGTGTCGATTAATTTTTCATGCATTTTTAAGGACGCTAAATGAATAATACCCTACGACTTCTTCCAAGTATACTTGAGGCAAAAAATATTGCAGAAACTGAATGTGATGCTAAAATCAACCGAAACTGGTTTCATATAAAAATTTGGAGCATACGTGGATGTAACATTTACTACAATATTTTCTGTGGGCGGTTCAAACTGCTTACAAATATTTTACATTAATAACTGACAAGAGAGAGTATCAGAATCGCACAAGTGGAAACATACATGAATATTTGAAAGTAAATAGATCGTAAGACAAAAAAATTATAGATCTCAGCCGCCTATTGCTAGTTTTTTACGAGCAAAACTCGATCAATGCCACTTTCACTATTTACATTACATTGCAATGAGTGATGCTGTAGAATATGCAGTTCTGAAAGTTTCATATGAAAACAAAACTACAATACTATTTTTTTAGCTACAAACTAAAGACATAATGACATATAAAGACTGTTTTCGAGGAAATTGTTATATCAGTAATGAATACAAACATTGAAAGTATTTCATTTTCCACAGAAATGTTGATAAAATCAGTAAAGATTTAATCAAACATTTTTTCGGTAAAAAATATCTTGTACACTTTTTTCGAGAAAGAAATAATTTTCGAGATATTTTCAACTAGGTAGGTTTAATTTTTTTTTTTCAACGTACACCATGTAAGACGATAAACAATATTTTTTTCTTAAGGTCAACGTTTCTTAAACTAGTTTTACTGAACAAAATCAGTTATTTAACGTGACAGAATGAAAATAAATCGACACGCAGCATTAAGAATTAATTACATTTCTTCATAATTAGCTAGGCTAGCGGTTTTTTCTTGTGATTACTAGAGAGATCAACGCATATAAAAAAAAACCGTCCACAAATTCGCTCGAAAATTGATACTTAGACACGGAATACTTTACAGCTCGACTGTTTACTTTTCCATTTTTACCGGCGTTGCTAAATTGATTCACTTTCTCAATCTAGTTGGTTGCGACAGCTAAAAGCCAATTTCATTTGGTCTAATGGCAAGCCGGTGTTGCTATTTATTACGAGATAAAAAAGACAGGCATTGTCTGGTGAAAATACTATTAAAAATTAATTATTTGTGACAGTTGCAAGTCTGCTCTTTAGAAAAGCATATTGATTGGGCGGGAAACTTAAGAGGGTAAATATTGCTGATATCTGAAGCGACATAAGATTAGTTCATCCTTGTTTCCCGTCGAGAATGTTTGTTTGAGCAAAATTATTACAAAACTGAGGTGTATGGGCGAAAACCGACGTGTTTGGCACTTGGAAATCGCACTGTACCAATTGTGAAGTCTTAAATGTACACTGATTCTTGAGATCAAAAGCTTTGAATTACTTTTAATGTTTGAAGAATCGCAGGTAGGGGAAATCACTACTCTTCTTTTATTTATTATACTCTTTGTCAAAGGAATCAATTCTGAAAGTTAATGGCATCTCAATGTAGTTTCATTCAGGTACTAATATCTTCTGGAAAAATAACTTAATATTTACAGTTTTTGAATTATGAAACATAGACAAGAAATAAGATATTTTTGCACGGAAAAAGTGTTTATTTCTATCAAATTAGTTACATTTTTTTACAAAAATATTTCAAAATAATCCAATTAAGCTGTAACATATACATGCACATGTTTGGGATGAAAACAAATGAAATCCGTATCATGTCCCAACTGCGACCAATTTTACATTACATAATTCGTAAGTCAAACATTGTCTGTGGTTTTTTCAATTTTTTTCGTAGTCACGCTCTTATTACAAAATTATTTTCTGGTTTCGCTTTAATAGTTCCTAATTGTGCCTTAGAATTAGCTGCAGAAAATGATATGTAAATTTAGCACGGCTTTTACTTTTCTTGTTACTCTTTGCGGCTTTTGGATATGAACGTGGTGGAAACTGATATATTCAAAATAATTGTTTGATGCAGAAATAGAGACATTAATTCATTGTTATTAATAGAATAGATAAAATACAAAGTATACTTAGAAGTAATGAGGAAAATTGTAGAGGAATACTAAGACTTGAACAACATTTAAAAATAACACAATCGCCAGTGAAATTAGTTTACTGTTATAGAATGATCATCTCCAAATGACAATTCAAATGTTCTCCAAATTTTAACAGCGTCAGTTCTCTCCTACAGTAACTTTAGTACAGAAATGTATGTAAGTTAGTGTTCTAATGCAGAAGAGATTTTCCCTTTATGCCTCCTCATTAACAATTTTTCTTGCTTCGCATTTAACTTGGTTACTATCTTCACTATAGAGCACTTGAAACGTTTTT